TGATTATGAACACTAATAATGCACGTCGTTGATCAATTGACATGTATTAAAACTCAAGCCGGTCTACTTGGGACAGGTGTCGTTGCACGGCCTTGTCTGATCTATAAGTGAGATCAGATATTTAATCGAAATGTTGATTTTTGATTCATTTCCGATATGAATGAATGATGTGACATCTTTAAATAAACATTTATAATTTTCCAAAAAGATGCAATAGTGTTGTAGCCGGGTCACTGCTGTTAACGCCGTAGAAACTCGATAAACCCAGTTCTGTGTCCCCACGTGATCGTGATGAATTATTCATGATGTGCATAATTAATCATCTTTACTGTGTGACAGAATCATGCTGCTGTGGATTCTGTCCGGCTCTCTGGTTCTGTTCGGCAGTTTTGACGTCTGGTACTTCCTGAGAGGCTCGTGGATGGTGATCAAGTCCTGGTTCCAGGGGCCGGTTCGAGATGTTCTGGCCGAGCAGGTGGTTCACGGACGGGTTCTCCTCCACGACCTGGACTTTATGTGTCACATGAATAACGCCCGCTATCTGCGCGAGTGCGACTTCGCCCGGTACGCACACTGCACGCGGAACGGGCTCTTCCTGGCCGCACGCGCGCTCGACGCCACCATGCTGGTCGGAGCCACGACCATCCGCTACAGACGCTCGCTGGCGCTCGGCGAGGCGTTCGAGCTGCGCACCCGGATCGTGGCGTGGGATGAGAAGTCCTTCTACCTGGAGCAGAGGTTCGTGTCCAAGTCAGACGGGTTCGTTTCTGCTGTCATGCTGTGCAGGCAGAATGTCATTCGCGGAAGTCCACAGAAGATCTTGGAACACCTTTGCAAGAGGAAGGTATGCATTTATTTATCAAAACTTTTGAAAGCCATGGACCTTGTGCAAGAGACCCCTTTTCATGACATGCATTTGATTTGAAATGCATGTTATTTTGCCTGTTTTTTATTTATTGTACTCAAATGTATTTATTTATTTCGTTTTTATTTGTATTATATTTATGTTTTTACTTTTTTTTAA